ATGAACACCTAATAAAATTCATGGTCCTTGCTATGTGATATTTACCTTCCAATCTCCCTTTCCTTTATCCACAAAAATGGAGATAATAATATATACTGTAAGGGCTGGGGGAGTGGCTCAAGCAGTACAGCACCTGCCTAGCAAGTGCAAGGCCAGGAGTTCAAACCCCAGTACTGCTAAAATAATATCTACTGTACAAAATTGTTATGAATATTTAATAAATAAATAAATTTAAATGACTAGTGTAGTATCTGTTGTCTAGAAAGCACTTAAAGAAATGTTTCTTCTAGCCTTTATATGGGAAGCAAAGAGGTGCTTTATGCAGAAAATAAAAAGTGCCAAGGGCTAGAAAAGAAAAATGCAGTTAATTTCTAACCCAATACCCAATTTCTACTATAGATATTTCATAATAGCACAGAGGACAATAGTATTATAAATTAAATGATGCAGCACTGGCCCTGAAAATTATACCTTCTAGTGGGGCCATCAAAAAAACAACTTACAAAGCAAGGCAGGAATCCAGTAAAAATGCACAGATATGTTCACATATAAGACATGTTCAAGAATGTTCATGCAGGACTATTTGAATTAGGCCCACACTGGAGACAACTTGCATGTCCATTTATGGTAGAATACAATGGGAAAACAAATAGCAATGAAAAGGAAGAACTATGACTACACACAATATGGGAAAATTTCACAAAAGTAATAAAAAGCAAAAGAATCCAGACACAAAATAATAAATGCATTATGATTTTGTTTACATGAAATTCAAAATCAGGCAAAACTCATCTATGGCAGAAGTGAAAAGAGAGGCAACATTTGCGGGGGGAAACAGTAGTGGCGGAACATTCCAGGGGTATTCTATTTCATCATCTGGAGATTAGTTACACAGACATGTTCACTTTGTGAAAAATCATTAAGCTCTGTATTTATCACTTCTGCACTTTTCAGAATATGTGATGTGTGGATGTGTGTTTACATACCTATAAAATTTACCAAAAATTTAAGCAAGAGCAAAGTTAGTTTACAAGATTGGCATTAAATATGAAAAATACAAGGTCCAGCCTAGCATTTACTGGTGCAACAACTGTTTATTGAACATTTATTTTATGGCCAGTAATATGTTTTATTTTGGTGATAAATGGCAGCTATTAGGGGTTGAATTATGTTGTCTCAAAATTCATATGTTGAAGTTCTAACCCAAATTACATGAGAATGTGATCTTATTTGTATAGAGTAAAGTTAAAATGAATTAGGGTGGGCCCTAATTCTGTATGCCTGGTGTACTTACAAGAAGAAGAAATTTGATACAAACACCTGTAATCCCAGTACTTGGGAGGCTTAGGCAAGAGGATTAAGTTCAAGGCCAATCTGAATAAACTGTCTCAAATAAACATGGGTTGGGGACATAGCTCAGTGGTAGAACATGTGCTTCACATGCCAAAGGCCCTGGATTCTACCTTTAGGACTTCAAAAAAGAAAAAGAAAAACCCAAAAACCAAAACAAAGCAAAACAACCAAAGCCATCACCAACAAAAACAAGAACAAAAGGAACTCAACCCTGCCAATGCCTTGATCTAAAACTTCTAGCCTCCAGAACTTTGAAATAATAAATTTCTGCTTGTTGAGTCACTCAGTCTGTATATTATGTTATGGTAGCCATATAATAATGACAAATTTAATAAAGAACAGCCTAAAAAAGGGAAAACCGGTATGATTAAGGAAGTTACAGAAGGCTCCCTGAGGAAAGTGGTTTTTTTTTTTTTTTCTATTTCTGGTGGTTAAATCTAGGGGCTTGTACAGGCTAGGCAAGTGTTCTACCTCTGAGCCATATCCCAAGCCCCCTGAAGTTTTAACTAAGCTGAGATTGAAAGTAAAAAGAAAGGGTCAAGAACAGAAAGGCAAGTATCTAGTTCAAAGAAAGTGAGGCACATGATAGAAGGTGAGGCTGAAGAGGCAGCTGGAATCCTGACTAAGTAGGGCTTTTAGGTCATGTAAAGATTTTGAACTTTATCTCAAAAAGCACTGGCATGAGGCAACCAAACATTTGGCACCTTGTAACATGAAGGAGTGTGAAGTATCAGTATCCACCCGTGAGTATTCCCACTAAAATAGTTAAACTTAAATCTACTCAAGCTTTTGGAGCTAACTTCTACTTTTAGAAAATATGAGAAATAGAAGATCAATTTAAATAATAGCATAAGGAAGTAATCAGATAAATTCAGAATGTGGAACATTCCCAGTAATAACCATGCCAGCTCACATAGTCAATGGCAAGAGAAAGAATAGGATAGGAGACATACTCGAGATCAAATAGAACTCAGGAACAGTGCTTAGGTTCTGATTATAGTGAACAATTCAACTGTAAAAAAGCATTTTAAAGCAAATGGTGAAATTTGAATATACTACAATGTTACAAGGGAATTATTGTTAGAAATTTCAAAAAATATGCAATGTCTTTCCATTGAGGTTGTAATCTTTGTGATTTTTTTTTTTTTCCTATACTAGGCATTGAACTCAGGGCCTCTTGAGCTTGCAAGCAGGTGCTACCACTTGAGCCATTCTACCAGCCCAAGGTTGTAATCTTTGCTATTTTATATAAGTAGTTAGTAGGCATGGTTGATACTAATATTGAGTCTTAGTATTTTAAATTCAGACAGAAGATCAAGAATCACTGTGAAATAATTTGTACCTTTTCATAATTACTGCATTTCAGGAGTAGGAAATAACAAGAGGAAATATCTACTCACAATAAATTTATCTTAAGCATGGGAAAAGGACACAAAACTCAGTAGAGGCAAAAGCTGGTCTGCAATGCATCTTCTGTGCTGGGGTCCACATTGTTCTCCTTTCAGGATAGATTACAATATAGCTACATAGCTCACAACTTAATTCTTTCCCTTCCCCCAGTTGACTTTAAGTTCTTCTCTTCCTCCCAACTCTATTCTCCACCTCCAGGCATTTTAATTCATATTGACTTGGCAATTTTTACTTTCCTTGGGAAAGCTGCCAAAGGTAACGAGAAGGAATAATAATGAGTAAAGAAAAAAACATTTTAAAACCAAGGCAAAATTAACAGAACAGCAGCAGGTGCTGTTTCAAGCTTTCTCCAGATTTATACATCTACTTCATCCTCCTGGATTTCATGGTTACATTTTTTCCTGTATGTTCTGTCACTGAACCCATAATAGCTTTCTATCAATTATACAGGCCTCAAAGAAAAAAAAGGTTTTAAACCATTGATACATAAAGAATAAATACTGCTGAAATACCCTCTTCTCTCCCTTCCTTTTAAATTTTATCCTTCATTTGTTCTTTAAAAAAAAAATCACAGCCAATATAAAAGGCCAGAAATAAAAATATTAGTTATTATAAGTATCTTAGTAATACTTTGCTTGTTAAACTATGAAGATGTATTATTTTAGTAAAAAATTAAGTTTTAGAAAACTGAATTATAACTATCCAGTTATTCAGTGCTTAGCACCACATGGAAAAATTAAATTCAGCCAGTACACTTCTAGATTTATAATATATGCCAAGCAACCATAATATGAGACAGATAGCTTAATATGGCAACAAGTTATTTTGACATACCAAATACTCCAATATCATACAAACAGAAATGTAGGATTTAGCAAGTATAAACTAAAATAAATATGTGTTTCTCAGTCTACTACATGGAACTATTAGTCATCTTCTGTAAGTTCTTCCATTATACTATATACTTACACTACACACAAATTACCACTAATCCTCATAACAAACCTAGGTCAGGTGTTACGAACCCATATTTTATAAATGAGTAAGAGGATTTTAAAATAAGGCTGATTGAGTCCAAGTTCATATTTTTTCCACTGTAAAATAATAAACAGACACCTATTCATTAGAAGGGGAAAATTTACACTCTTTGCTCTTACTCTAGCTAATAGTAGTTCATTTTGCTGTGTTCCATGGTTAAGGCTGACATTCATTTGGTACGTTCTGATGTGGCATGAGGACTAAAAGCTGTTCTGACTACCTGTATATCTGCTCTGCTTGATTAGCACCCATTCCCTACTGATCATTAAATATTTTGAATATCATACCTGTCCATGGTACAAATTCTTGAGTTTTGAATCAAATACTTATTCAAACACTTGAAATCATACAAAACCACTTTTTGTTTTTACGTTTTGTTTTTTGTTTTTGTTTTTTTTTTCTTTGAGAAAGGGTCTTGATGCTGATCTTGAACTAACTGTGTAGTCTAGGCTGTCCTTGAACTCAATATCCTCTTGCCTCAGCCTTCCCAGTGCTGAGATCGCAGGCCTGCACCATCACATGTAGCACAGGTTGGCCTTGAACTCATGATCCTACTGCCTCAGGGTGCTGAGTGCTGGGATTAAGGTATGCACCACCACACCCAGCACAAAGCCACTTTTTATAATGCCAATAGGTATCCCAGGTCTACTTCTATGCAAAATATGACTGGTCTTCTCTTTAAGTAAGAACACACCAAGACTCCCAACTTTAGTAGGGGCTTAATCTTTGCCTACCTTATATATATCAAAGCAAGGGGCCATCTTTAACTCAGCAGAAAATTATTGTAGTCTAAGATTTACCAGCAAGTCCAACCTTGAAATAGCATCCTGCCTTTCTTGTTGAGGCAGGTTTGTAGCAGAATATTATCCTCACCTTCATGATTTCCAGCTATCAAATGAGACAACCAGAAAAGAATATATCTAGATATAAGCTTAGATAGAAATATCTATGCTGATTTACACAGTTATAATTTTGGACTTTATCAAGATTCAATATAAGAAATGACTACGGGGGAAAAGGAAGCAATAATTTAAATGTTTCACAGACAAATCTAAATGTCACCATAACAAAAGAAGTGTGATTTGTTTTCCAGAGTTTCATACTCTATATTTATTTATGTTAGTTATGCCAAAACCAATTTGCCTGACCAACATATGTAATATGTTGCACAAGCTCCCTCAACTGGTTAAAATATGAAACTACCAAAAAACATGTTCCATTAAGTTGATGGTATCATCCTCAAATTCTGCAACTCCAGACTGAGATCGAAGAATGGACAGGATGTTATTAGATATTTTTTCAAAGCCATTCTGTAAACATATATTTGCCACTTCTTGCCACTTTTCTAAGGAGCAAAATGAGTCATTCATCACAAGATGTTCTACTGCATCTGAGGAAAAAGATACAATATTATAGTATGCTACTTATTCTTATTTTATATTCTACATTTAGTGATTCTTCAAAAGTAAAAAAGACATAATTTCAATTCAGTTACTCTTAAACTCTACCTGACTCCCAGAAAAATTAATCTTCATAGCACTCAGTCCAGCTCTTGGTAAGTTTTGTTTTAGCAGTACTAGGGTTTGAACTCATGGCCTGTGCTTGCTGGGCAGGTGTTCTATCACTTGAACCATACCTCCATCCTGTTAATTTCTTAAGTTAGTTCCTCTTTCTCCTCTTTTATCATATACCTTTCATGTCTCAGTTCAGCTCTCTACCATTTTCCATATTCCTCACTTCTCCACTTACCTCCTTTTTGGTAAGATAGCAGATGTTGAAGATTATAAGACAGGGAGCTCAGAAAGTGAAGAATATGGACTCACCCTTTTTCAGAGTATGTAAGGCACTACTAGAAACTGTCAAATAATTGAGGATATATTGCTCCAGTTTTCATGATCCTTCAAACATTTAAGTGCCTTTAATAGTGTTGTCCCAAGAGTTCACAAACTCTTTGGGGACTACAGGTATGGCTCAAGTGGTAGAGCTCTGAATCCCTGAGTTCAAACCCCTGTCCCACCAAAAAAAAAAAGACACAAACTCTTTGGCAAACTCTCTCTCCATCTTTTTTCTAATGGAGACCTCTTTATGACATGGCTGAAAAATGAAATAATTTTATTCTTAAAAATTCTAATGATATTATTCACTTTTGAAAGTTAATATAATGACTCTTGGATTGTGTATGTGTCTCAGTGATAGAGTGCCTGGGTTTGATGCCTAGCATCATAAAAAATATAATTTTTTTTAAAAGTCAAGTATAGTTACTCTCAGATCTATCAATAGCTAATTTCTTATCTATTATTCTCATTACTTATGAAATTTCATTAAAGAGGATTTCTCTTTAGAATCACTATTATTTTATTTGGACCATAATTGCTATTTTCCTATCATGTATTTTAGTTAGTGCCTGTAATGATAATTTCAAAATATAAAAGTATCTTCCTAGCCAAAGGCTGGTAGCTCACACCTATAATCCCAGTTACCTGGGAAGCTGAGATTTGGAGGATCACACACAGTTCAAGGACAGCCTTGGCAAATAGTTCAAGAGAACCCTTCAACAAAATAACCTTAACAAAATGGGCTGGAGGAGTGGCTCCAGTGGCAGAGTGCCTGCTTTGCAAGCGTGCAGCCCTAAGTTAAAACCCAGTCCTATTAATATATATATATATATTAATATTCTCAAATATATTTTCAGATAATTTATCATTGCTTCCTTGACCTCAGACAATAAAATCAAGTTGGCCCAGATCCCCTGCAATTGATGAATGAATTAAAAAATGTGGTATATATACACAATGGAGTACTATTCAGCCATAAAGAAAAATGAAAATAAGACATTTGCAGGTAAATAGATAGAACTGGAGATAATCATGTTAAGCAAAGTAAGCCAGGTTCAGAAAGACAAAAAGTGTTGTTTTCTCTCATGTGTGGAAGATAGTTCCAAAAGATAAACACAAATATGCATACAAGTACAAACATGATTTGTATATTTTATATCTATATCTATAGATATAGATAGATCTAGATATAGAAATATATTGTAATAGTGGAACTGTTTGAGGGCTCTAGAGGAAGGAGTGAAAAGGAAAGAGAATGATACAGAGTAAATAATACCAAAAAACATTGGATCTGTGTTTGAAGATGGCATGATGAAACACACTGAAAGTTGAAACAATGTGGTACAGGGAGAAAGGGATAAGGAAGAATAAAATAGGGGGTTAATCTGGTTAAAGTACCATATATTCATGAGTGAAATATCATGATGAAACTCCTTTGACAACAAACATACACTTTAAAAAATAAAGGGCAAGTCATATGTGCTCCAGAGACTTGAGTCAAAAAATACAAAAAGAAAAAAAAAATGAAGGGCAGGAATGTAAAAACAGGTCCTGATAGGGAGTGAGTATCAATGGAATGAGGGAGGGTGAATGAAGAGGGTGAATACAGTTGATGTACTATATATGCTTGTATGAAAGTAGATCAGTGAAACCTGTTGAAATTATAGGAGGACTGGGGGGTGGAGGAGAATGCTGGTAGGGATAAACCTAATCAGGTACATTGTAAGCATATATGAAAATGTCACAATGAACCCCCTCCCCGCACAACTAATATGTGCTAATAAAAATGTTTTTAAAAGTAAAATAAAATAAAAGTCTGTGGAAGCTCCTATGTTAAGTTAATGAAAGTGAAAAAATGCAATTTAATTATGCTTGACCCCTCCTGAAGAGTTAGGTTCAGAGTGAATATCATGTAAAGATAGATATATTTTGCCTAAGAATTAAAAATTTTAAGGTTTATATCTAAATAACATTTAAAATATATGTGAAAAGATCGCTAAATATACATTTATGTTAATATATATAAAGTTTTTAGGATAGTGTTAACTTTTATAATTGTTATGACATTCCCTTTGGACTTAATAAAGAGTCTCTCTTCATTCTAATTCCCTCAAAAAACATATAGGGCTGATGGAGTGGCTCAAATGGTAAAGTGCCTGCTTAGCAAGAGTGAAGCCCTGAGTTCAAACCCCAGGACTGCCAGAAAAAAAAAAAAAGAAATATATACTATTTACTATTGCCAACAGACTATTACTGACATGGTAATATTTATATTATGAACTCCTAAAGTTAATACTTTGTAACAAGGAACTCTATGGAAAATTTACTTATATAAATCCTCTTGAACCTTTCAATAAATAACGCACTACTATTTCTTTCAGAACAACACCTCATTCAACTTACCTTTCCCACCCTTGTTTAATTCTTGAAATAGCTCAATGCCAACTTTTTTCATATCTGTAGAGAACAGATGTAGTACGGTAAGCCCAAAAGATAAATATGGTGGTTTCCCATTCCTTTCTTGAGTGAGAGATTGAATTAATTCAATTTGGGGACATGCTGTTATTAGTTGCATCAGGTCGTCTGAGAGTAAAAATGAGAAACTATCTCAGCACCTTCATATGATAAATCAATTAGAAACAGACCAGCTAATATCTATGCCTGCCAATCAACACTTCTTTTTCCAGTCCTTCCAAACCCCTCAAGTGACTCACTCCAATCCAAACAGTACTACTATCTTCAGTCAAAAAAAAAAGAAAGAAAATAAATAAATAAATTATGCCCAGCATGGCAAAAAAATGAAGGATGAACCACCTGTAACAAAGAGTATAAGAAAAATTTAATTTTTTTAGTATTTAAATAATTATTTATTTACATTTAGACAGATTTTAGCCTTTAAATCTTGTGCATAGATATAAAGAAAAGAGTCTAAATTTTTGTATTCTGAGTCCAGATTTTCTAAATTATTTCCTTTTTTAAACTTTTTCAGCAGTACTGAGTTTGAAGTCACAGTCTGACACTTGCTAGGCAAGTGCTCTACCACTTGAGCCACACACCTCCAGCTCTTCTAAATCATTTTCGAATTATTATCATCAACAATATTTCTTTCCATACAATATAATCCTGTGTGACACTGAAGCTGTTGATGATGTAGGCTTTCTTCTCTTGAAGAAATCCTTTTTTCCCCAACGGATTACATTTTCATTTTCTTAATGGTGTCTTGTGAAGCTCAAAAGTCTTTAATTTTAAGTCTGATTTATTCATTTTTCTTTTAAAGAAAGTACTGCCTAACCTAAGACCATGAAGTTTTATACTTATGTTTTCTTTCATAAAAAATAGTTTTATCTATTTGATAAAATAGATCCATTTTGAGTTCATTTTTATATTTAGTCAGGGGTAAAAGGATAAATATGATAGATATATCCCACATACATTAACATTGTTTGGGGTTGCCAATGCTTTTTTTTTTTTTGGTGGTACTGGGGTTTGAACTCAGAGCCTCATGCTTGCTAGGCAGGTACTTTACCACTTGAGCCACTCCACCAGCCCGCCAATGCTTTTTTAATAGCTCAAGGGAGACATGAGACCAGAAAATTTGAGACTCTGATCTAAAATAAGACAGTTTCCAGATAGATATTTAGTAATTCACTTTTTTAATAATGGGAAAGGTGAGCAAGCAAACCACTTTAGGCTTTATTCCAGAAATTATTAAGGGTGAAAAATGAAAACAGTTTATATTTCTAAAACATTCAGATTTATGCTTTAGGGAACAATGTATTTTTAGGATTTTTCTAAGGATTTTTTGTTTTCTTTTTTTCAATTTGTAAATGTAAACTGATAATCTAAATCTTAGAACATTTATTTATGAAGCCAGAAAGTATTAACAAACTGAATCTGATCCCCAAGACCACAGATGATTCCTTGAGAAACTGTGGCTGTTTTTCATTTAAAAACTGAAATAAGGGTTGGGTCATGGCTCGAATGATAGAGTGCCTGCCTAGCAAGCAAAGCCCCAGTATGGGGGGAAAAAAAGAAAAAAAGCAAAGTGATTTTTTTTGAACACTGTTTCTATCTTAAGCTTAATGTTTCTCAAGTTATTATTATTTTCATCTTATGACATTGTTTTAAATAAATTTGGAGAATATAAAGGATCTAAGTAGACAGAAGAGTTAAATACCAAATTATTATGATATACTTATTTCAGAGAATGATACCTTTTAGAAAAAAATAGTGATAGTGAGTCAATTGTATTTCTATACACTTATGTAAGGCATTTTTCCAATAAAAAAGAAACTTCCCATTTCATTCAATAAATATTCTAAGGGTAATTCAAATCTACATTTGATGTCTAAACACTTACTAATATAATTCTTACATATGGAAAAAGAATAAAAACTAAACCTGTGTACTTAGATAATAGTAAAATATATAATTAACTCAACAAAATTTAATTAAGAGGTATACTATGCCAGATTCTGTTCTGTTGCTGTAGAACTATGAGCAAATTACCTCCCTCTCTGTGCCTTAGCCTCTGCGAAATCAGCTTTTTCTATAAAACAGGTTTTATAAAACCCGCTTCCCAGAGTCAACCTAAGGATTAAGTGAGATAATGAATGTAAATAGCCTAGCTATTAGCTATTATTACAATAATAAATGCACTGTTATTAATGAATGTAGTAATTAGTAACTTTTAAAAAATGCATAGATTCTAAATAAAAGTCAATTCACTGTTTGAAAAATGATCAGATTCAACAGGTATACATATCCTTTTTCCTTGGAAATGTGACCTAAAGTTACTATGTTTGGTTCCACTTTGCAACTTCTTAGAATAGGGACACATGGCTTAGAGATTGAGATTGGCATAAACCTGTGAAATGGTGAGATGTTAGCTCTATCACTGAATTAGATTCACAATAAGAAGTCTGCTCATTTATCTGGGTCACCCCTTAATCTACAATTCTCAGATCACTAACCAATTATAAGCTTGGTGTTTCAAAATTCTGAAATAAATATTATTTCACTAATTCTTCATTATAATGCTTATAATATATCATAGTATAGAATGTTCTATATCACAAACAAGTTTAGTTTTTTAAAAAAATCCTTTATGTAGCATGGTCCAGCATATTTAACTTTAAGACTATGTATTTCCAACACTATCCAGTTTGCTAAATGTTTATTTTGAATTTGAATGTCTACCATGAAAGTCAATTAGTTCCCTCTTATTTTCATGAAAAATTGCAAAAGAAATGTTCTACTTATCAGTAGGTATAAAATAGGCTGGGCTGGAGGTGTGGCTCAGGTGGTGTACCTGCCTAGCAAGCTTAAAACACAGAGTTCAAACCCTAGTACTGCCAAAAAAAAAAAAAAAAAAAGGCTCTATAAAGTAAGTTTAAAATAATGCCTGCCACATAAGTGCTCTTAGAATTAAAGCCCAAAATGTGAATATATACAAATAATTAGGTGTTTTTACTTACCAGAGGTAAAGTCCTTGAATTGTTGTATGTATTCCATGGCCCCTTGAATCTGACCCTGTTTACACAGGCAAAGAAGAGCTTTCTTGTGCTGATCACATTCACTGTAGATAATTTGAGCTAACGCCAAACACTTGGCCTTGTTATAGGTATCCTGCTCCCCATAAGCACAAATCACATCCCCAGCTTTGTCAGAAAATGTCAGCCTAGAGCAAGCAGATCAAAAAGAGATCATTAGAGAACTCTTGGTGAGTGACTGAGACTAAAATATTTGAAAATCTAGGATGATAGAACCGGATTTTCTATAATCTATAAGAATTCCAAGTCAAAAAGTAATTGGTGATGTAGGAGAAATTAAACATATCTGAGATTTAATATCAGCAAAAACAACAAAAAAAGTCAGCATGTATTTCTTTGTGGGAAGATATTTTGGTGAAACTGAGATCAAGTTTTTAAAATTCTAAAAAAAAGTTAAAATTCTCCTGAAAAGAATTTAAAATTACATGGTAAACAAAAATCCTCATACAATTGAGGATCTTGATGTTCTAAACTGTTATCTAGAGTTTATCTAGATTCTAAATTCTAGCAGGCTGGAGATGTAGATCAACGGTAGAGTACTTGCCTAGCATACCAGAAGACACCTTGAATACAAATCAATTACTTGTTAAACAATTCTTTCATTTCCACACTTCAATTACCAAATAAAGGTTTTAGTACATATAGTCATAATATTTCCTGAGGATGAACAAATAAGTATTTTAGTCTATATAGTAACTATTATACCAGAGCAAAATGATAATACCAGTATTTTAGTACTTGCTTCTCTTATTAATATCATTATTTTGAGACAGGCATGGTGGTATATACCTATAATCCCAGCACTCAGGAGGTTGAGGCAGGAGGATTGTGAGTTCAAGACCAGCCTGGGCTACATAGTAAAACTCTATCTCAAAAAAATTACCATTATTTTATTTTTTTCTAATGGTCACCAGCATGCTGCTGCTTCACTTTCGAGAAGGCCAGGCTGGAAAATGGGCCTGGGAATCTCCATCTCCTTTTTCCCCCAGTCACCTCAACATATCCTTTGTTTTCCTAAAGTTCTCTTGTGAGCTTTCCCCAGCCCTACTCTCAATTCTAAGAGGGCCCTTTCAAGAACTTCTTTTTTTTTTTGCAGTACTGGGGCTTGAACTCAGGGCCTACACCTTGAACCACTCTACCAGCCCTTTTCTGTGATGGGATTTTTTGAGATAGGGTCTCTGTTTGCCTAGGCTGGCTTTGAACTGTGATCCTCTTGATCTCTGCCTCCTGAGTAGCTAGGATTACAGACATGAGCCACCAGTACTTGGCAAGAACTTCTGAAAGAGGATCTAAGAGTAGACTGGTAGACTGGAAAATATGAATAATTACTAAATAAAAATATGGCCAATCCCACTACTCAACTATGGCATATTTCAGATTCATGAATCTGATTTTTAGATTCATGAATTTTTAGATTCTAATTCATGAATCAGATTTTTAGGTTTTTAACTTTTTTTTTTCTTTTGGTGGTACTAGGAGTTGCACTCAGGGTCTCATTCTTGCTAGGTAGGCACTCTACCACTTGAGTCACTCCACCGGCAGATTTTTAGGTTTTTAGTCTAAATGAAGGTAATACATAATTACTAAATCCATGGTATTTATTTACTGTTATTGTATGGGATTAGGTTTTCAAAGTTAACATTTCAGGGGATGTTTATCCTTTTCTGCAATTCAGAGAGTCAACACCAGCAAACACTTTCTAACTGATTAACTCCAATAAAAACCTGAAGTAAATCTTCAAATAACGTATTGATAACAAAACTGTTTGAGAACAAACATCAAATGTCAAAGTTAAGTTAAAGGCTTAATTTTACTTACTTTTCCTGGGTAACCCAATTGATAACTAAATCAAGCCGTTTTTCAGATAATCCACATTTGATTCCTTCCAGGGTTAGATCTGCATTGATAGGACGTCTGAAAGCATGACTTGTGCTAAATATAGCCTCAAAAAATGAAAGTAATGGAAGAGGTTTTCCTCTAATTTTTCCAGCAGCTACAAAAAGAAGGGAAGTTTTGAGTCAAATACATTAAGAAGTCCTTTACTGTTTCATCTTTTTGCATTGTTAAATTAAAACCTTAACAATACATATAGATTAAACTTTATATTTTTGGATAAGTATAATTATATGTGCCAGTGAACATGGAGGCAGAAGTTGCAGTGATCTGTCTACAAGCAAAAGGATGCCAAAAATTTCTGACAGCCATCAGAAGCAAGGGGACCTCCCTTAGAGCTTCCATAAAGAACCTGTTAACATCTGGATTTCAGACTTCTGGTCTCCATAACTGTGAGAAAGTAAACTTCTTTTATTTTAAGCCCAAAGATTTTCCCAGTGATGTTGCAAATCTGTTATAATCAAAGAAGAACTATGATTTGAATACTTATAAATACACTGAGGATAAACTTCCTCATGCAAACTATATTGCTCTATAATCAATCAAATGAGATGTAACACTAGCCATTCAGAGCTACATATTTAATCAGACATACTTTAACTCTGAAAAACAATTCAATGAGATTAACAAATTGGGGTCTTGAAATTTATATGTAGGCTCAGTCAATGGCCAAATATAGCATGACTACAATTTATTTTTTTTTAATTTAGAATTCATTAAGAGTACAAGGTGGGGGTGCCAGCTCTCTTGCTTGGGGACCCCTCCGCAGGACAACTTCTCCACAACAAACCCTGTGCTGACATGAGAGCTGTCTCCATGTCTATCCCTATGTGCCTCTTTTATTTCTAACCTATGGTGCCAAAACCTAGGTTGGGCATATAGGTTCAGCTCTCAGCTCTCTGCTCTTACAACCTGGGAAACCAACAGACAAGCGGCAGCTCTTCCCCGACTCAATCCCAGACCCTGAGAGAAGGCTAGAGCCATCCTCTCCCATCCCTCCTTCCATTACTGGATATCTCTCACCCTTTCCTTTCTTTCTGGCTTCCACCAGGGACCATCTCCCCATCGCTGGACTCCATTTAACACCAGCCTTCAAATTTTGCCCAGGATTGTTAGGATGACTTCAGGAACTTCAGGAATGTGCTGCCAATCTCCAACAACGGATGGACCCCTGGGAACAGTGGTCTTCCTGGGCTAAGTGGATACTATGGGTCCTCCCTCTGTTGGAACCCTTTTTTTTTCCTCATTGTGACCTTGCCTCCTTCAACACCTTTCCGGCTTGTTTTCCCAAGAAACTCCAGTCCTTCGCCCAGGACATACCCATAAGCAAATAAACTCAGCTCTGTTCCAACAGGCCCACTACAGTCGCCTAAAGCAAGAAGACCCTGCTGATACTCCCTCCCCTTAAGAGACCTGGACAGCCCTATTCAGCAGGAGGTACATAGAGGATCATCAGCATCCCATCCCCAAACATATATGATAGATAGGTAGATAGAGATACAGATATAGATATAGATAACCCACAATATTTGGTGGGTTTCTTTATGCTGTTGCCATGCATATATATGTGAAATACTATGATCCTCTTCTTCCCTCCCCGCCCACCTTGTACTCTCTCTATTTCCTCTCCTCCCCTTCCTACTATTCATTTTTTTTTTGGTGGCACTGGGATTTGAACTCAAGGCCTTGTGCTTGCTAGGCAGGCACTCTACCACTTGAGCCACTCCACCAGCCCCTACTATTCATTTTTTATTTAAACTTTATATACACCCAATGCTTAAACTTTAGGGGAAGGAGAATGTTCTTAGATTATTTCATTTCACGAGCCAAAAATATCCTATTTCCCATATTTTTATTTAACTTCCCTCTTCAAAGTCAAGTGAGGAAAAATTTAAGAGTACAGTCCGACATGGGTGTCCTAAAATTTAGAAAACAGAGAGACCAGTGCTTAATGCTTGCCTAGAAAGCTTAAAGGTGAAAGTAAGGAAAGAAAGTTAAAATATGACAAATTCAACTTCCTCAAGTTTGCATGCTCTTCAAGGGTGAAGGAGACTCCGTGGAAGAATAGTAGGCTGGCATTGTCTTAGAAAGGTCCTTGTACAGTTTCTGTGCAGGGCCAGATGACCCCACTTGAGAGAGTCTTTGGGTAGAGTACACATCACCAGTGGTAGTAACCGAAAGAGGATCATAAGAAGCCAACTGAAGCAATTCCTCTTGAGTTAATAAAAGATACATTACATAGTCTCCAGGAAAGAGAGGCTCTAGAAACAAAGACTACAGCAGCCAACAATGGGTATGTGCCACACCCATGAAGCATCAAGGCCTAATTACCACTGTATTAGTTGAATAAGACCTTTCTTGTCCTTCACATAAGCCCACACATAAAGCTGCAAATGATTACAGGAAGGGAAGTAGAAGAGCAAAGAAGTAAATGTATTTCTTATACTCAATAGGTTCTAGAGCTGAATCACAGCTCAATTAGGGAGAAACAGAATTTTTCAGATAAACAAGACACCATAGCTTTTATTTTGCTTAAACTAGACTTTGGGGTATCTAAAACTTGTTAATATCTAAAAGTGTAAAAAACTATTTGATAGTTCTAAGATATTTTCCAGAAATAGAGATGAGAAAGGCAACATAGCCCTTTTAAAGGACAATGTTAAGAAAGAATTAAGTTATTTCTTGCTTTGTACTCTATCAGGTCTAGCTTATTTGATGATCCAAGTTTCATAGCTAACAAATCTTAGTAAATTGGGTATGACATAAAACATGATTCTGATTTTTAGTCTGTAAATGAAATGTATGATTTTCACACACAGAACATATAATACAATAGTCCCCCTTATCCACAGGGATCCATTCCAAGACTTCCAGGTATATTGAAACTGAAATTAGTATTGAATCTTATGCATACTATGTTTATTTCCTATATGTACATAACTACAATAAAGTTTAATTTATAAATTAAGTACAATAAGGTATTAACAGCAATAGCTAATAATACAATTATTAAGAAAAATTAGGGTTATTTAAACCCAAGTACTGCAATACCATGATAGATGGTTTGATAACTTAGATGGCTACTAAAGGAAAGATGGATGAATAATGCATACAGCATAGATTCTCTGGACAAAGGAATGATTCATAGCCTAGGAGGATGGAATGGAACAGTAGGAAATTCATCATACCACTTAGAATAGAACACAATTAAAAAAACTAACATTAATAACTTACTTCTGGAATTTTCCATTTAATATTATTTCATTTGCAATAGCACAATAAAAACTCAGGAATACATTTAACCATAGAGATGAAAGCGTCTTCTACTAAAAGTTACAAAATACTGCTAAAATTAAAGAAGACCTAAAGGCATGAAAAGACATTCTGTGTTCATGAGCAGGAATAATTAAAATACATTTAAGATGGCAATATGACACAAAGCAATCAACAAATTCAATACAACCCCTATTGAAAGTCCCACAGCCTTTTTGTAGAAATAGAGATCCTCATATTTATATGGATTTGGAAGGGAGGGACCCTAACCAGCCAATCAATCCAAAAAAATAAAAGAACAAAGTTAGAGGAGTTACATTTCCTGATTTCAAAACTTACTATAAATCTACAGTAACCAAAACAGTTTGGTACTGGCATAACAGTAGACATATAGACCAATGGAATAGAGTTGAGAGTCCAGAAAGTAACTTATACATCTATGTCCAATTGACTTTTGACAAAGGTGTCAAAATCCATTCAATGGGAAAATAACAGTATTTTTAATGATGATGTTGGAAAAACTGGATTCTACCTGCAAAAGAATGAAATTGGACCCCTTACCTCACACTCTCTATGCAAAATTAACTCAAAGTAAATCACATACTGAAGGCTGGGGGCATGGCTTAAGTAGTAGAGTGCTTGCCTAACAAGTACTAGAGTTCAAACCCTAGTACTGCTAAGAAAAAAACAAAATAAAATCATAGATTTAAATATATAAAACTCTTAGAACAAAACACAGGAGATCTTTGTTATCTTAAATTACACAAAAGTTTCTTAAGTACAACACCAAAAGCACAGTCATAAAGAGAAGACTGGTGTATTAGTCTGTTTTCCACTGCAATAATGAAATATTTGAGGCTGGAGACTTTATTTTTATTCATTTTGTTTCACTTCTTTAATTTTATCATTTTTACATTTACTTACATGTGTATACATTGTCTGGGCCACCTCCCCCACCCTCTGCTTCTGGGTAGAACCTGTTCTGCCCTCTTGTTCTCCGATTTTGTTGAAGAGAAAACATAGGCGATAGTAAGAAAGATGTAGCATTTTTGCTAGTTTGAGATAAAGGTAGCTAGCTATACAGAGAGATCCCTAGCGTTGCTTCCATGCACTTGTGTATTGCGACCCACATTGGTTCATCTACACCAGACCTCTTCGCTACTTCCTTGTTCCCTTCCTATAGTTGCCTCTGCCAGTTTAAGATTACTTTATTTGCTCCTCTACAGTGAGCACATCAACCACATTCATGTGTTAGGTTTCCTTCCCTTTCCCTATTCCTCCTGTGCACATTCTGCCCTTCATTTATGGCCCCTGTTCAATAATATTACTGCATTTGTTTTGGGGTCTATAATCCACATGAGGGAGAACATGTGATTTTTGGCCTTCTGAGTCTGGCTAACTTCGTGTAAGATGATGTTCTCCAGTTGCATCCATTTACTTGCAAATGATAAAATTTCATTCTTCTTTGTGGCTGAGTAAAACTCCACTGTGTATAAATACATTTTCTTGATCCATTTGTCAGTAGTGGGGCATCTTGGCTGTTTCCACAGCTTAGCTATTGTGGATAGAGCTGCAATGAACATGGATGTGCAGGTGCCTTTTAATAACCTGAGTCACTTTCCTTCAGGTATATCCCTAGGAGTGTTATTGCTGGATCATATGGCAGATCTATGTTTAGTTTTTAAAGAAGCCTCCATTTTGTTTTCCAAAGTGGTTGTACTAGCTTATATTCCCACCAGCAGTGTATGAGGGTTCCTTTTTCCCCACGTCCTTGCCAACATTTGTTAGTGGTGGTGTCTTGATGCTAGCTATTCTAACAGGAGTGAGGTGGAATCTTAGTGTGGTTTTGATTTGCATTTCTATTATGGCCAGAGATGGAGAGCATTATTTCATGTGTGTTTTTTGGCCATTTGGACTTCTTCATTTGAAAAAGTTCTGTTTAGTTCAGTTGCCCATTTCTTTATTGATTCATTAATTTTGGGGGAGTTCAGTTTTTTGAGCTCTCTGTATGTTCTGGTTATCAGTCCTTTGATGCATAGCTAGTAAATATTTTCTCCCATTCTGTGGGTGGTCTCTTCAGTTTAGAGACCATTTCTTTTGTTGTGCAGAAGCTTTCTAATTTCATGTAGTCCCATTTGTCCATCTTTTTTCTTAGTTCCTGGGCTGTTGGAGTTCTACTGAGGAAGTCCTTGTCTATACCTATTGCTTCCAGGGTATTCCTTATTCTTTCATGTACTAACTGCAAGGTTTTGGGTCTGATATTAAGGTCCTAATCCACTTTGAGTTGATACTAGTACAGGATGACAGGCATGGATCTATTTTCAGTTTTCCGCAGGCACATAACCACTTTTCCCAACAACATTTGTTGAAGAGGCTGTCTTTTCTCCATCAGCTTTTTGTTTTGTTGATTCTTTGTATGTTTTTTTTTGTCTCTATTTCATTAATTTTGGCCCTCATTTTTATTATTTCTTTCCTTCTGCTTGTTTTTGGTTTTGCTAGGAGTTTGAGATATAGCATTAGGTTGTTTATTTAAGATCTTTGTCCTTTTAATATATGCACTCACGGCTATAAACTTTCCTATTAGGACTGCCTTTGCTGTGTCCCATAGGTTCTGGTAGGTGGTGTTTTCATTTTCATTAGCTCCCAGGAACCTTTTGATTGCCTCTCTTATTGCTTCTATGACACACTGATTGTTGAGCAATGTGTTACTCAGCCTCCAGTTATTTGCTATTTTCTGCTATTGTTTTTGTCATTGAGTTCTAGTTTTAATGCACTGTGATCAGACAGAATGCA